TGGGGTTTGGGGTTTGGGGTTTAATCCTCGGCACCTGGGCTTTGCAATTGGGGCGACTACAGCCGATGCCCTTTCCTACCCTCCCGTTTAGTATGTACCTTGGCTACCTTGGTTTAGGGTTTAGGGCTTAGGACTCTTTGGGGCACCAGAAGGATTCTTGAGGGCTTCTGGGTTGAAAGCATCGGGGTTCAGGCGTTAGGGTGGTTCAGGGTTTAGGGTTTAGGGTTTAGGGTGGAATCCTAGGCGCACCCTAAATCCTAAACCTGCAGACTTTTCGGGCCAAACCTTCCACGCTCCACCCTGCAAGCGGACAGCAGATCCAGCGTGTCGGGCTTCCAATACGTTGCTGTGGAACCAAACTTTGAGAGGAAGCTTCGATTGAAGGCCTCTAAAGGGGTTCGTCCAACAGAAAAATGGCTTAATAGGGTTGTAAGGCTTACACGAAGTAGGCTTACATGAAGGGTTATTTATAAAGTAAAGCAATTTTGCTTACAGTCCTTTCCGGCCTACACACCTTGCCTCAGCCTCAAACCTACTGGCAAAGTCCACGGATCTTTCAAGAAGTACGTCTTCACCGCCAGGGCTTCGAGACCACTCAGGCTTGCCAGAAAGTGATTCTTACCACACGAATCATCCAAAGTGGAGATGCACTTCATGGCTGCTTCGTTACCATGCAGGCGCGAGTACACCTTCAGGCATCGGGCAATCATTTTGCTGCTGCAATCCTTGATTTTGCCTTCAGCGTACCTCAGCAACGCAGCATGATTTTTACCACCAGGCCAAGACCGTCATTGAGTCAATGTAATCCAAGTTGCCATGCTTGCATGGCTTGCGCGTCGCACGGTCTGTTCAATTCTCTGAGCATGCTCTCCACATGGGCCATTCCAACCAGCCTCCGCCATCCTTGCGGCACAACGGCGTCCGCACGGTCTCCTTCAATGACAGGCTGAAGGAGTTGCGACGTTGGAAAGTCATGCTCAGACCCACTCGTCTGACCTTCTGCCTGTCTTAGTGTGTTCGGAGGGAACACTGAAGGGATTCAGAACAAGCCAATCATGGAACTCTTTTGCTATACACGATTCACGACCTCAAACCCTGCATTTCTGGCGGCACTTGTACTACCGAAAGTATCCTAAGTAGCTGTACAAGGACATTTCAACACCTTAATCGCAATTGCTGATACAGAGCCCCTATTTTGCACCGGAAGTACCGAGTAAGCACACTGCAAACCAGGGATCTGTACTACGAGTTGCTGCTAAGAGCCGCTGGAATGGATGCCAACCCCAAACACCCTCGGAGCCATTGCCTGCATCGATGTCGCAGGTCGTTACCTTTGTGCTCAAGAATCGCACACACTCCGGCTTTCGGGTTTAGGTCGAAGTAAGTCTTGCAGTGATCCGGGCCTGCACCCCAAGGTCTAAACGCGGTCCTGCTGCTACTACTGCCACTGCCACTGCCACTGCCACGACGACGACGACGACGACGACGACGGCTACGACGACGACGACGACGACGACGAACATGACCACGACCACGACGACGACGACGACAACGACTACGATTATGACTACGACGACGGCTGCTGCTGCTGCTGCTGCTACGACGACTACTACTACTACTACTACTACTACTACTACTATATTTATACTACTACTTCCTAGTACTGTACTATATACAAGCACTATAGAGTTCTGCTACTATTGTTACTACATGCTTTACTTG